CACTACATAGTCTGAACACAGCATGTGGCAATGCACAACAGAATGCTTTAAACCATCACTAGTCAAACAATATCTGGTATTTATCAGAATTAGAGTGTGAAGTCCAAATGACCAATAAATTTCTGTGTTCCTGAAATATGACTAAAAGTAGTTACAAAAAGGAACTATCTCTTTTATCTCCATTGCTTTATTCACTTATATTTACAGATAATAAGGAGCAACAATATTTAAAGATACTTGCCTACAATCCACCAAAAAAGTACATCCATTTCAGACTGTTCAGGAACTATCTGATTCAATGGTGTGGTTGCTTTCTGGATAAAAACAAAAATTAAAATTAACCTGACAAGGAAAAACTGCTCTCCAACTATCAACATAGATTTTAAAGATGTTGAACATAATTCACAAATTTTTGCAAAATATTACTGATAATATTTTGTTCTTTAGTGGACATATTGCTTTCACATCACTTATAACACTGCAGTTCGTCACTGGAATTTGCCACTATAGAAATTAAGACAACATTTGAAACACTTCTACAGGTTGTTTTCCAGCAAATTCACACCAACAGAGAACCACTGTGATGTTTTACCTCACTGCTATAACCCCTAAACTAAGAATATGGTTCTAAGAGAAAAATACTGATGTGTAAAGAGAGCATAAGTGCAAATTTCAGGCTTAGAGAAGGTTGCAGAATATAAACAAATTTCCAAACTCTAAATCAGTACTCACCATATCTTTTCCTGAGACAATAGTACAAACTGAAATGCCAAGTGTAATCATGAAGACTGACAGGTATTTTGACGAAGTATATTCCTTGTTCAGGATCAGTATACCCATTATCATATTAGCAATCAATGATCCCTATGGGGAGGAAAAAATGAAACACATACATACATATTTAATACAGTAATAGAAATATCTAGGAAAATATGAGATTTCAGGGTCACACATCAGTTTAGATGTCAAAGTCGGTCTTCTGGGTTGTGGCACCATGTTGACTTGTACGTAGATGAAGATTTCTGTCTTCTGGGTTGTTGCGCTGTGTAGTCTGGTCGATGTTAACCAACATTTCAGAGGTCATACGGCCTCCGTCATCAGGGCAATGACAAAATAAAATTCACTGTATGAATAAAGTCCTAAATATGTGGAAATCTTTGAAGAAGATCTAAATTCTTTTCAATGTCCTGAGTTCGAACTTTAAAAAATAATGATTTTTTTTCAAAAGTGCTTTATTCTTCTTCTATGGTGCAACAGCACGAGTCTAGCCTTGGCCTTCTTCCATGTGGGAGGTTTCTTTGTCTATGAAGTGTATTTATGAGCAGTGAGGGACAAGCGCACTGCCTCTGCACAATTTTTACTCAATCCTGATTTGTGTGCTAGAGCCATCTTGACTTGAGTGAGAAATGGCTGCTGAATTTTGCTTGCGAAACATTTCGTTTCATGCTCATAAGGTTCTTTTACATGCTGTAAATCAACAACACGGGACCACTGGCTTTATTTCCCCTCTGAAGGAAGTTGTGCTACAGATTTTTATCACCCTTAAAAATCCACTGACCTTGGCCAGGTTTGAACCCGCGAGCCTTGGGTCAAGTGGCGCGCATGCTAACCACTAGTCCACTGAGGGTGACAAAACTGCTTTATAATTACACACAATTATTTTTATTTAATGTATCATAAAACTTGCAGAAGATGTATTATTAGACATAAGAAAATTATTCCTGTTAAAGACCTAATTCAATAAAGTCAATACTCCAGTTATTAACGTGTTTACATAAATGTCAAACATGATTAGAACAATCGAGCACCTGTATCACTCATATTGTGCTGTGCTATTGTTGCAGTGTGGTGTGAAAGGACATCATTAGCAGCCATAGTAACTACCACTATCAATGAAGCCAATAAACAATTGAACCCCAAGCCTCTGTTCATGCCTTACAATTTGAATTAGTGATTCTGTCTCCTACAAACATATACATATCAGTGAACTGTACTGTAAAAATTGTTTGTTGATTACATATACTTACAGCCCTAAATATCATGTGCAGGGGCATAGGAATGTTGAAATTGAATGCATAATTATTGCACACATTAGCACAGAAGAACATAGCAACCAGGACTGCATAATCTCTGCAAAGAGAAAAGTATATAATGTGGTTCATTATAAAGTAACCCAAAATACTTTACGACCTCAATAAACAAATTGTATTAGACTATAAAATCATATTTTTATAAAATAAAGGCTCGAGGTAAGAGCAATCACAGTTAAGGCAATCTTAAAATAGTGCAGAGAACATTTGATATTTGCAAGTACAACTAATACACACATAGAATACTTTTATTTACATGTTCCCCACAAGTAGGCAAATTGCAGTGTAAAGCCTGAAGACAGAAAAAATATGCAGAAAGTTGTTTTTTCTGGATTCTAAGTTACATTTGCCAAAGTTCTGCAACATTATCATCTTCATAGCTGTCCATTTACCAACCTAGAATTTGTAGGTATGTTTATGCTGTGTCTCTATAGCAAATACTCACATTTATAATGCCACTGCTTCATTAATTATTACCATCAAGACTAAAGACAATATAGATTATATGCAGCTGCCATGTTCTTTTAGAGGAGTGAGGGGAAGAAAATAAAAATAAGAAACCTATTATCATGCATCATGTCAGGACCTTATATTATGTGGTACTAGTGTTCCTCTCAAACCAACAATGGCCATGGGCTAAGAAGCTGTGTCTGAACCAATAGTAAGGACGCCACAGAGAGAGAGTGTCTAGGTCCAGCTCTTATAACAATGGACATACTTGGATATGCTGTACTAATAATTATTCTGAAGATAATTATTCAAATTAAGCAAAACCAGAAAATATACTAACTTTATTCCAATACTTGGTTTTTTTGTTCCAAAGTGAGCTGTAATGATGAAACCTTCAAGTGCAATAATAAAAAATTGGGAAAATGTAATTATGTTGCCACTTGATGGATCTTCCCTGAAAGAAAAAAATAAAAATTAATAGAGGGCAGTTGTTAAAAATAAACTAATTTATAAATAATATGAGAATATTTGTTTAATGATGCTTAAGGGGATGAAGAGATGGAACTAAAAGATGGAACAACCTACAGCATCAAGGACAGCAATTATAAATATATGATCACCACTGATAAGATACATTGACAATTTCAAGAACAGTGGCCAGAAGGGAGAGATGATTAATGGTTTGTACAAACTTAACACTCAGAAACACCATGATAACCTGAGCTGCACCAATCAGAATCTTTCAGAATACAATGCTGCATTAACTTGTGTACTTTCTCAGTTATGATTTTTCAAGGTCAGCTACAAGAACAATGCCAAATTCTGTTTCAAAAACTTCTGTAGATTGTGCATAGCAGGTCACAATGGTTGTGGGTTTCATGTAGGGTTGTTAATGTTGACAAAAAGATGTAAAACAATTTTTAACTGGAAGTCAAGCCAAGGAAATGAAAGGTATGAATTAAAGAAAATTTCAGAGGAGTACAGCAGTCAAGCTAAACACAAGTGTCACTGACCTTGGCACGCATGCATATATATACACACACACACATACATACACAGATTGCAAATTATGTAATATCAAAAAGGAATTTAATATACTGTAATTAAGCTATTCAATAATAAACAAATTTCTCCCTACTATAAAAAGTCTGAATCATGTTATAAAGAAGTTCAAGCTATCATTAAAAGAGTGTCTCCTATCACACTCCTTGTACTCCACATAAGAATTGAACTCAATAAAAAATACTCAGCCATTATAAATGCTTTTAAGCAACAGTGGTTATGCTTTCTTGTGTAATTATTTTTGCGGTAATACTGTAGTCGTCTGCAAATTACTGTCATAACCATGTAATTTATATCTCTGCCAGAAATAAGTATTGTATTTGTACTATGACATGTTCTATATCCTTGGCATAGGCCTATGAAGGATCGGTGGAATAGATTCTATTCTATTTTACTCTAGTAATCCTTACAATAGCAAATTCATATGCATTACAGAATACACACTTTTACAAAAGTAATGGGAACATGTGGTACAATATACTGTACAACTTACTTCACTAACAATTCCAGGAATACTACATTGCTGCAACATCCTACAAACACCATCACAATTGCTATAGCAGACTTCATCTTGACTATTCTGTTCTGAAGACCAGCTCTTTTCTTTCAGAAAAGAAAATAATTAAAAGAACGAAGCGTAATACATTTTCTCGGCAAATGGACATAACCTTGAACACGTCAACGATCAACCATTACGCTTCTCCACAGACCGCATTTAACATATTTCACACAGATGGTTGTGGTTAAGTACGCACAGTTTACAGCAAATTTCCCAACTGACCAGCAACTAAACGTTAGGCGCTTGATAAAAAGCTTCTGCCATCTCTATTCTAATAACGGAAAAATTTCCAAGTTGATGTTCGACATCAGTGGCTTAGTCCCTAACACGGGTTTATATCTTCCCACATCCCGACTCCGACAAATCTCACGCAAGAACAGACGCCGAAACCACGGCAAACGGCATATCCTGAGACTCTGAAATTGACTCAGCGCACATCCGGGCAAATTGTTCTTGTTAATCTAATAGCTACATTTAAAATTCTGTCATACATACGGCTGAACGCATGTCAACTTCACAATTAGGTTTCAACACTTTACACAATGTCACAGCATCAGAGTATATTCTAGTCTATTAACTTTTTGAAGTAACCATATATTTTAAAACTTTTTCGTCTATGTCTAGGTTTCCCTTCAGATTTTCAAACCAGAATGTTACACACATTCCTAGTTTCCTCAATTATTGATCATCTCCATCCTTAGTAAACCTTAACAACAGCGAGAGATGAATGGATATTATCTCTTAATTATGTAATTATCTCCACTTACTTTTTTCTTCGACCTTCTTAGTTGAAATGTACTTCTCAGAACATTATCTTCTCCTCAGTCTGTCCAGGAAAATGTACTAGGATTATACTTACATTCTTAAGTACAATAGAGTCCCAACATTCTATTTATCTGACGAGCCATTTTGGAATTTTCCATTTTACCTACAGTCAACTCAGAATGTAGCAGAATAAATTATTCCCCCACCATGCACGACATGACCTAAGGAGGCACAGAAGCAAATACCCATTAACAATTTCTTAGCAAAATAAACACATTCATTTACAAATTTATATTATGTTAAACACTATATTTGTTTGTCAGATTTTTGTATTTGAAGGCAAACTGTATTTTCTTGAATTTATTGGATATTTATCCTCATCTTTTCCAACATTTTCAACTACCCAAGCATCCTTTAGTTTGGTTTAGGCCAGATAATCAGGGTTCAACTGTATTTTGGGTTACAGTCACTTCCATATTATTCTCATTTCATAATTTCCTATGATCCTTCCATTTACAATGATTGTGTGAACTATAGTCAATGAAAAAATTAAAACTAGAAACGTTGTTAAAGACATTTTCTTTGTTATCAGATGCTCTCAATATTTGATATATGCTCAAAGTGAAAAATTCATTTCATGATCTTATAAAACAACAGGCAAAATTAGTTTTATTTGTATATTAAATTATTTAGAAATGAAATGATAAAGATTCTACCTACTGTAGCATAGAACTTCTTGACTGTAGAAGTCTAAATTAAAACTTAAAAAATAAAAGAACTTCAACATAATTTGAGAACCTATCAGTATTAATAATGTATAGTTACATAAAGCCTGTTTTTATAAGTTACTACTCCAGGGATTTTCTATGTTTCTTATCAAAGCAATTCCAATCAGTGTGACCTAAAAGGTTGACAGGGTTTGTGGAACCAGAAGTACTGGATAATTCAACTGACAAAGTAATTGACAATGTAGCTATTCAATAACTGGATGTTGGTGGCCCAGGACAGAGTCCGGTGGTGGACTTTGGTTAGTTCGGTGATGAACCTTCAGGTTCCGTAAGCCATCTAGTTAGTTAGTTAGCTATTTAATATGTTTCTGGAATAAAAATGAAATGTAACAGCTTGAACTACGTTATATTGACATCTCTTAGGAGAGAAAACTATCAATAATACATGAACTTCATACTTCATGTTCAGATCATCATCATCATGTACTGGAAGCATTATGGGTACTTGCAGTAGGTGGGCTCAAAATTATATTAAACTGGAATGGTTGACTGATTTGCATTGGAATAAATACCTGCCAAAACAGTTTCCTTCTTTGAATAAATTGTAGTTACTATCTTGGACTTGTGATTTTTCTTCCATTCTTTCTTAGATAATATTCCCATTTATATTTACAACACACTATTTAACAAAGGAAAACAAACCTTTCCAATTCTAACAACACATTATCTGATTTTCATCTCTCTTTAATAGTTGTGTAAAATGCTAGACTATAAAAGTCAACAATAATTCCAAATGGTATTCAATTGAATTTACCATTGTAAAACTGGTCAACATATGCAAAACTTGATACACTAGATTTCTTGACATTTTGTTGTGTTGTACAATTTGAAGAAGCACCATTTTCACAAGTATGTAAAACTGGATGATTTGTTAACTACACTATTCCTCTACAACCCTTATAATTATAAATACTATTCGGATACATTAAGATGATCCCAACTTCAACTTTATGCTATCTAACACTAGTCCAGAGGCAGCTGGCAGTATACTGTACAAATATAAAGTATTCTTTTTACCATCTGTAACAGCTGCTACTGAAGTAGTACACAACTGACATCATCAAAATAATGGTAAAAAAGGGCAAAACAGAGAACTCGTTACAAGAGATAATACTGAAAAACAAAAGAGGTTATAACGTTCTGATATAAATATCAGTGTCAATTTTAGTTGTGGAACACCTTTGCAGCACTTAGTCAAATGAGTAACAGAAAACACTTTACTGATATTATTTAAATATTGCTGGCAACTTAAATGCATTGGATGTTACAAGTTCAGTTTTAGAATACATGCAGAACCACAGCTAATGTGACAGAACATATAATTGACAATTTTTTAAATATATAATTTCTTCAAGTATATACTCAGGACTACTTGGTGAGGTTTAGACAGACAGCATTACATGTTAATGGTGAAAATGAAAACTAAATTTTACACAAATTTGTCAAGAAGATTTCCTAACCAAACTTAACTGGCAAGAATAATTTACTTTTACATAAGTGCACTCTTGATGGCAATATGAACCCATGTACTGTCATTATTATAAGTTAGCAGTTTCTTTTATATTTTTAGGTACAGAGTACTAGATATGAGAATATTCATAGTTAATACAGATCCATTTGTATTTTATTAGGTTTTGAACTACTGCTATAAATGAAAGCTAACTAAACTCACCAGGAAGATAATAAATACACATTTAACCACAGCCATTCCGGACACTTATTCCTAAGTCCCAAAGAAAAGGCAGTTCTTAATATATACATGCTTCTTCCATAGCAAATTATAACTACATATTTGCCTAGAATAAAATTAATGCAAATCTACCACTGCCATGTCAAATAGAAATTGCTTGATAGGAAGACAAAAAGAAGAAGTCAAATCAGAATTTCATCATTGAAACAAATTCATAGATATGCTTTATTTACATACTAGGCATTTTCCTCACTTTTCTAAGAACACTTCTCTCCTTCAACCGGAAACAAAGCATGATTTAGTTTGTTACTTGTTGCTACGGTATAATTTATTTCAATTTGATAAGCAGATATAAATAATAATAAACCCTGAAACATTTATTTTCTTATCAACTAGTACCATATTAAATTTTCTTCATTCTCTCTTCTTCTATTCCAAATGGAAAAAAACAGACCAGAAGGCGGTCTAATAATCAGAGTAACGGCACACATTTCATGCTCGTATATTCACGTTGAATTCCATAGATCATCTTGCTCAGATGAATGGATGGATTGACAGTTTTTAAACTCTTCCTATACACAATTTATATAATTTTACATTTTTCAGTAGCTTTATATGGCACATTAAAAATACCAAATTAAAAAATGTACATGTAGAAGGAAATTAAAGTACACTGTATTGCAGCCAGAAGGAGAAAGTTTTTAACAATTCACCTATCATGAATGCATTAGTGTTCCATGATTCCAAATAAGTTCTAGAGAACACTTAACCATCAGTATGTATGTTCATATTTGAGAGGCCATGTCTGAGCAAAGAAATATTTGCCAACAGATGAAAGAATCTTCATATTCCATCCACAATTCAAGCATTCATTTACTAAATATATTCTCTTCATGCTGGTTATGATACTGCTATTTTAAATTATATAATAAGACCAGGTAACGTCAATATTGAATACCATCAAGGTTAGAATTAAAATCTAGTCAAAGGTGATAGTAAGTGTGAAAATTTGACACATTTCTTAATTAAATATCACCAGAATTTGGAAGCAGGTATTTTTACTTTCAGGAAGTAAATAGAACAGGCAACTAAATAGTTTAAGCCAAATGAGACAGTTTTAAATTTATTCTGTAATTTCACACAACACAGAGTTCAGTCCAGACATCTAATATCTGTTACACAACTGACAAACACATACTGTTGGCAAATATTAACAATACAATCTTCATTAATCAAATTTATAAAAAGAGGAAAAATCCACTCCTGTAATTGAAGTTTCATAAGTGATTGTATTAATAGCAATGACAGGTGCACTCTCCTACTTTTTATTTTGAGCTCCCTTTCACGATAAATATAATTACATCTGAAGACCCATCATCGATGATTGTCAGTTTACAGTAACAGTTCAGTAAATATCAATGTAATTTTTCTATTCATAATTAACTATTTCCAAATCATTTAATTAAATTTGTTTCAGTTTTTCCTAAGATCACTTCACTGTATCTGATTTTATATGAGCCCTAACATCACGTGAACCAAAAAAACCAAGTTTCTTCAGGGTGTCAGTGGTCCTCATAATTAGCTTTTCTTTAAATTTCCAAATAGTTGTATCCACAACAGTGTTCTGGCGGAATTCAACGCAGGATTTCTTCAGCGTTCGAACACAGTCAGCCCGATAGTGCTGCAGCTGTGCATCAGTTGTTTCAATGGAGTACGAAGAACAGGCTCCACCCAGACAGGCTAATGGAAAGTGGTTGTGTAATGTCAATGCTCGCTCTGGATTATGGAAACACTTCACATATTGGTTGGGTTTTGTGAAGTTCTTACTGCGGTATACATGCTGCAACATATGCATGTAGCGAGGAATATCTTTGAAAAAACCATGAACTTCGATGAGATCATCTAGAAAATAGACATTTCGTACATTGTACGAGGCTTGAGTGTCATTTTTGGCAGCACGTGCTTTTGGCAGGACAATATCCATCAGCTCTTGCCACGACATCGTATTGACAGGCATTATTACTTCATCAATGTCCAAAAGTGCAATGTATTCAAATGCGTATAAATTCTTGTACAGGCAATCGTTATAGGGAATAAGTTCGTTTTGACGCTTGTTATTCCATTTCTTTACAAGATACATATGTTGAAATCCAGGAACATTTGGCTGACCACCAGGAAGAGTTAATGGTGTCACATCCACACGATCCAACTTCTGGTAATATTGCAGAACTTTAGAAATATTTGAGTGAACTTGAAGCTCATAGAAAAACACTTTATCTGCGCCTAGTATGCCTAGAAGTTCTATCCACTCCACCAAGCGAACAGAGAGGTCCTCATGAAGGAAGTCCAAGCCTTTTACACAGACAGCAAACTTTTTCTTCTTCTCAGGCTTATTGTATACGACACGGAGATTGTTTGTTGCTGTATCACAAGGCTTTTCGACAATGGAAACAGATGCTGGGACAAATTTTTGATATTGTTGTGGAATCTGACAAGCAATAAGGTAAGGTTGATAAATTCCTTGCTTGTAATTTCCCCACTTACGATACCATATGTACTTATATTCCATCACTTTCATAAAAACAGGTTCCTTCTGCGATTCAAACCAAAACTGACAGTAGGTCTTTATGGTAGGTTCAATCCGGTTGATCATCCCTAAGATCCTAACCGCTGGGCCTATCTTGCTGGTTTTTCGAACATCATAATAAGCACCAAACAACTGAAATGTACCATTAGTTGTATGGAGATTTTGCCAATAAATATTATTGAACTCAAGATCAAATATACTGGGAAATTTTGCACAACTTTCATTCTTATAAAACATGGGTCTGTCCTTGTGACGATTCCAGTACACAATTGGTAGGCTTGGAAGTTTCTTCTGAACTTCTTCCACTATCATTGCTTCAGAAAAACTTGGTGACTTGTCAATGCTGGGTTCAAGTTCCAGTAAAAGATGTGCAGCAGATAAAGGTGACTGACTGGTGCTGGCGGTCGCTTCTGTGTGAGGCGTTCGAGGATCGCCTACTTTCTGAAGCAGGAGACGACTGTTGACTGAATTGCTCGTTGATCCTACATCAGGGCCCTCTACTTCATGGCCCCGTAGGTGAAACACAGCCAGCACGATAAGTCCCCAGAGAATCACCAAGCACAGCATGCGGTGCAGAAACCTTGATCCACAAACTGCCATTTTTCCTGTAAAATAAATCATCAGAATATTTGATATAAATTGGTCACACTTCCAACATGCATTTAATTCACTCACTTCTTATTAAAAATATTATAGGAAGTTCATTTTGCCAACATGTATGGGGCTCAAGTAAGTCAGCAAGTTCTTTCCCGTGATATACGCACTACATGGCCATTCCATAAAATATGCAAATGTCTCTCATTACATGGATTTTCTCCAAAAAGGTGTATCCACGTTTAAAGATAGATATTTTTATGTAAATATAAATATGTGCAGTATTTAATCCGTGCACGAGCAAACAGCGAATTTTGAAGTCACAAAACAGATATTACCAACTTTTTAATTTTTCTATTTAAAAGTCTGATTTTTAAATATTTTGTCATAGTGTTGTGACTGTTTTGTGAAAATTTGTTCAAAATTATAATGGGGTAACTGTACAAGATGCATGATTTTTGTTTTATTTTGGCAATTACAAAAAAAGAGAAAAAGCCAAATTAGGAATTGATAGAAAAGAAACAGTTCCTGAATTAAATTCAGACACATTTCAAGAAAAAGAAGTTATGTGTCTAGCAATATCAAATGAAATTTTCTTATAATAAATTACCAAACAATAAAGAAACATAACCTAAATTTAAACAACGGTCAGAATCAAACTCAGGACCTTTCAAATATTAGGTTAATACTCAAAACAACTCGACCTCCGGTAGCTGTCACCAACAATACGACAAAAGTGTTATGAAAACCATTCACTTAAAGGCGGGGATAGAGTCAACTGCCGAAACGTCGTTTATATCAAATACACCCCAGACAATGGACAATGGCCAGCACAGTGTTCGTTGTATCAACCGTTCTCAAAACTTCATAGAATATTTAGAATAATAAATGGTGACCATAATTATTGTGTGGATAATGAAATGAAGACTGGAATTAACAGATGAGGTGAAGAAAGAGGCATTCATAAAGGAGATTACAATTAATATGAAAAAGAGTAGTTAAAGGAAAAGTGTCTCCAAAAGTAGCATAAAATTAGTGAAAGATAAATTCAATGTAAATGACAGCCCTGTTTTATAAGAAAGGCTATTCTCGCATTCTGACGCCAAGAAACGCCAGCAACGAACCGAAGATGTTGTCGGTTGACATCACACAGTGAGTCACTCATGCCGTCATAACACAAAACTACCTTTACGTGAGAAGGCCGTCTCGAAGGTCACGCAAAATGCTGAAGCAAGTTAAGTGCACGCTTGCAGGAATTTACGAAATTGAAAGAGCCGTGATCGGTCAAAGCAGACATTTCTTTGATCCATATCCAGTAGTTCCAATCACCAAAGTACTAACTACCATCTGCTTTCAAGAATCAACTTTCGAGAACCTAACCATTAAAATTATGCATATGTTTCTTACGTGCATATATGTCATCGCCCTGATGACGGAGGCAATTTGACCTCTGAAACGTTGGTAAACATCGTCCAGACTACACAGCGCAACAACCCAGAAGACAGAAATCTTCATACTCACCGCTGTGAAAACCTCAAATCTTAAATCCCGACTGTCCGCGGCTGCTTATTGACTACAGTCTCTTCTTTCCTCCGTATTCTTTATTTGTAAATACTAGAAATCATCTTCCATTAGAGTCACCCTTCTTTTCCATCAACTTTTATTAAATTGAAATGGTACGTTATCGGTTTCTTCTGCAAATCCATCCGTCGGAATGCAAAGTCACAACGAATTATTCCTGTATCGTTTTCTTTCCCGAAAGATCTATAAATCTACTCCTGCCGTGACAGCTCTTTGTTCATCCTAACATCTATCACTGTCTTCATCTGCGGCACAGGTATTAAAAAAAGAACCACAGAAAGCCAAGGAACTGGCACTCATGAGCCAACAAACTCGAAGAGAAAAATGGAGGTTTCGTCAGCACGCAGCAACATTTCCACCTCATCCAACCTGCGAATAATTCGGTTTTATCCACTACAACCATCAACTTCGATTAGGTCTCTCTTTCTACCTGCAGAATCCGACCGGTAAACAACTGAAATATGGCGTCCGATAGACACGTTTGACATTGCTTACAAACTCGTTTGGGGCTCACGCAGGGTGAAGAAGTTTACTGTAACAAATATCTTAAGTGATTGACGTTGTATAGGATGACCCACATTCGCACCCAAAGTTCCAAAATACTCATCATATACACTAAGTCGAAAGCAGTGTTTGTTTATTACACTATATAAACGTTATTACTAGAAGAAACCTATTTAACCTATATCAAATCTAAAACTTCTTGACGATGGTGAAGAGTCAATTGAATTGGGTCCCATCTCCGAATCGTCGTTTTTTACGTTTTATATTTACTAGACGATGGATAATATCCAAGGAAATTTTTATTCAATTGACTATTACACCTATGTCCACAGTCTGGTAACGAACAATTTTTAGGGTTTGAGGTCCTCGCGGCGGCAAATACTAAGATGGCTATCTTCTGGGTTTTTGCACAGTGTAGTCTGGTAGAAGTTCACCGACGTTTCGGAGGTGCTTGCTGTCTCCATCATCACGGCGCTGGCGCCCTGACGATAGAGTTCGGTAAACTTTAACGAGACTACACGGCGCTACACCCCAAATGATATCTGTCTTCATACCCGCTGCCGTGAGAACCTGAAAAGACACATGCATATTAAACTTTAACACTGTAGCCTCCTAGATTCGATATCTTAGCAATCCTGAGTGGCTTTCATAGACCATTAGCTTTTCATTACGTAATAATCATTCACCCACACTCAATAACTCACTCACTACTCCTCTGCCCCTCAACAAATTCAAAATCTTAACACTGAACTCTCGTCCCTGAGATGTACAGCAGGCGACAGGATACACAACAGACATCCCAACGGCTCGAAGCAAGAAGTGCATCTCCGAATATTAATCCCGCATTGCGACACAACTTTTAATACAAATCCTCCTAGCAAGCTTCTTTTGTTTAATACTGACGGTGTCCAATCCTCTCTACTGTTTTCTCCAACTGACGAAAGGAATGGAAATCGAAGACATGAAAAAGTTATGACTGCCATGTACCTCGTTCGATACAGTTTGTTCTCCTGCTAATCGATATTCTAGAACAATGCAACTTAAGAAAAGTATCATCACATTTTAGATGTAACAAAAGTACATTCACAAGCATGAAATTGCCTCTTTGTTTGTTTAATGCTGCTGTTTCAACGGTGGAGGTCTTATCGTTGAAAAAGGTCCCAAAATCATTATAATTGTATACTGGTAATGATTGGTTATTTCGAGGTACACACCAGCATTCGCTTCAAGGCTGAAGAAAATCACGAAATAACTCACAAGGATAGGCGGTGAACCACTCATGATTTCAACAAGGTGATGGAGGCAACAAGAATCTCTAAAACGCTGGGAAACTTCTACCAGGTTACACGGCACTATAATGCAACCCGGAAGACTTTAAAAAAATCACTTCTCGAAGAATGAACCTTTTTTAGACTTCTTCTGTGTATCGGAAATAGCTCCGTTTACCGGACCCAACAGAATAGGTTGACTGCCTCCCTATCCCGCCTACCTTTTACCTAAAGACGAAGAAGAACCAGCCTAATGATCTTTAAAGGTTTTAAGACTGAAAACGACTCTGAAAAACAGACGATGGATAAGTCGACAACAAAGAAAGCAGTAACACTGCATGAAGTTATAATATTTACTTGTGTTCTCTTATGTCGTATCTCGATGTCATATTCTGTCACGTGCCAATTTCTGTTTTTAATAAACAATAATTTTATTTAATTTAGAGTGCAGGAAATTTGTGCCTGTACCGACTTAGATTTATTTTAGATATCAAATTTGAACGAAGTTCGTTCAGTAATTTTGGACATAAAACTTATGGACAGACAGATATAATTTCCTGATTATGCTTCGTTTTGCCAGCTTCCTGCAAAGAACACAAATAAATTAGTAATGAAAATTTCGAATTGGTTAACGCAGAAATCGTGCATCTATTTTAATCAACGCAGATCCCGAGATTTTGCCTGGTACCCGAAAGCGAGAACCACAAAGGAATTTCATTAAATCAGTTTAAATTTTGTAGATTCCTAAATTTTCTAAAAGAATTACACACTGCAGTTGGGAACAGTGCCATTTCACAAGCGTACTGCCTGGAAATTACAATAACTCACTTCAGTCAGCACTCTGAGAATTTCTTTAAATCTATCATTTTTCAGTAATTCATGGGCGACATTAGACTGACGTAATATATGGGAAGAAGATCTTAACATAACTTGGAGCTCTGTGACCTTGCGTGCAAGCCAGTCATTATACACACTTGTTGCTCATTTCATTCTAATTTCGAAAACAGCGTCTCAAATTCCAAGGCTCGAAACAGTTGGATGCACATAATTTACGTCCGTTACTATATCAACAGGATGCAGAAAAACATGAATTAATAACGAAATAAAGATGTATCAAAACACTGACATGACATGGAAAAACTATAATTAGCCCTAGAGGCCACAATAGGACAGAGCAGTGATTGTAGATCGAAGATGGCTGTCTTCTGGGTTGTCTGGTAGAAGTTTACTGACGTAGATCAATTACTGCCAGCCGATCAAATAGCCTACAGTGGTGCGTAATTAGGAAACAAAGACTGTGTATGTGATTTACATAGAAATTTCACGAAGCAGGAACGTTAAAGAGCAAACGCTGAAATATACGAACTTCGTACAAGATGGACACAATCCTGAGCCAGCTCAATCCAGCTCAGATCTTATTTCCGTAAGATCTCTAACATTAATAGGGGTATTGCCCAGAAGATGAGATGCTGCTGCCATTATCCACAGACACTGCAATGTCGAATAAAATTTGATTTATTTTCAAGCCACATTTACAAGAAGCGTGTCTGTTTTTTCAGGCTGTCTGCATGTTTAATATTGGCGATTTACATTACAAATTATTTGCAAATTTTTCAGAATATAATGAAATACCAAGTTATTTTAATGTTTAAGATATAATTTAAGAGTGTAAGGCGGTATCATGAGCATGTTTCCTCTTTACAGTTTTCTTGTATTTTGCGTTATCAATCGAGCTCAACGAAAAATAAAAAAAACATACGTTAGCGATTTGCGCTTTATTTTTAACGGTGTTTTTAAGAGTCGGTGTTCTTGAACACTATCACCTGATCTGAAATATAAATACCAAACTAAGTTGTCCTACTCGCTTCAACACTTTCCTTTAGCTGACATTGAAGGAAAGACACGACAAAACAACTCGACATCACGGAATTAGAAGATACAATCTACAATTTTATAGACGTAAGTAATTAGTATGCAAGTGACAGAAACAGATTCATATATACATAATTAATTGACAGTTTATTTTACAAATAAATCGCTAATGGGAATAAGGTAGAGAAATTCCTTTCCTTCGGAACTACAGAAACCAAAATGTACGAATTTGTCCCTGCATAATATGAGATCGCTACAGCTCGCTCTGATTAGGTTGTTCTATTTAGATATTTCCGTCAATAATGTGGGGGGGGGGGGGGAAGACGTAAGACATAAAGCCGTAACGAAGAATAATATTAATAAAATATTCTCGGACCATCAGCCGTGGCAACTCGTTAAAAATCGAAGTTTCGGGGACCATCTCTGCTCCCATTATCTGGGCCCCAGACCGCCTCACCTGCCCAAGTCCAGATTTACAACAACTTACTTGCACCAGCCAGAATGTTTCGCGTTTATTAAGTATCGCGCAGCTGACAGAGTACGAAATTTGTATACAAAACATCGTAACATTTCCCGGCGCGTGGCAAGGTTGAAATCGGTCACGTTTTCCTCGGCAGTCAGTTAACTAGACGGAAAGTGTTACTCATATTAATAATTCTGCTGGAAACGGTGCATTTCCGAATCACTGAACGACGAGGGATGGGCTGTTTCGCCTTCTAGTCTTAGAACGCTTCAGTCGTTCATACCATGCAAGGACAACTTCACGGTTTCAGTAACAAGAGCCTCCTTTCATGTTACCAATTGAATATGTATCGTTAGTGGTAAATATATCGACCATTAGGTTACAAAAACAGTGGCATAGTAAATAAGGTTTCAGGTCATCACGGCAGTGAGTATGAAGATTAAAACCTTCTGTAGTTTCATAGAAACTGATCGACGTTTCAGATGTACGTATCGCCTCCATCATCAGGGCGATCGTGATAAAACGATTAATGAATAATAAATTGAAAGTTGCACGAAAGGATGCAATTGTGACTTAATTTATAGCATTAAACTGGAAGGACAGAAAAAAATACGAAGGAACTTTAGTCGGGATAGCCGAACTCCAGCCAGATATGTGAACCCATGTTTTTACGAATGCGAGTACTAACCACTTTGTCGAGACATTCCGTGGGTATGTTCTGTGCAATATTTGTCAACAGCACATTTATATAAATTCTTTAAAGTATTGTGGTACTGGTAAGTATACATTCCACCTACTTTGACAATCAATAACACTTGCTATTTGTATGTATGGGTTTCGTGAGTTTCTCACTTGTAAACAGGGAACGTTTCCTTAAACAAATTAACGAACTGATCTTAGTAATGGTGAAGTGTGGAGTTCTCTTTGAGGTAAGGACCAAATTCTTAAATGCAATTTAGAAGACGAGCGTCGACTTCAAGTAGATACGCGAAAACCTGAATCAAACTAAAAACTTTAGGATCTTTCGAATTCTATCATAAACGAATCTTACATTTCCGTTCTCTGCGATACGCAGATTGATGACTGTACCATCCGTCTTGATGAGCGCGTACCGAGGTGTCAACTACTATGGTAACGTTTAACCAGGAATTAGTAGTCCTACGTGAAGACCGCGTGACCTAGAAGTTTCATTCAGTCCTTACTATGGAAAGTAGGCACTATAAAACG